TGTGTGTGTGTGTGTGTGTGTGTGTGTGTGTGTGTGTGTGTGTGTGTTCGTTCTGAGCTTTGACAGAGACAGTGGACATGTGTTACTGACTGCCTGTTTGTAACCACTTGATGCAGACGTGTCACATGAGCTATAAAATAACAGATCAAGCTTATCAAGCTTGTGGCTGTATTTGAGTAATAGTTTTTACAGAGCTTTCTAATTGTTTAAGAGTTGTCATCATCTGGTTGATGAAAGTCAGAAAGTTAAAGTTAGAGACCTTTATTGTCTTTTTTTAAACACAGACCTTACTTTGAAAATGACCTTACAAGTCAACAGTTACCTGGATTTCCTAAAGATGGAGACGATAGCACCAATGACAGAGGTAGCCATATAAAATAGTAGCACGAAGACTAGCTACTATCAGGAGTTAGGAGTTTCACATTATACACTGATAACTACTTGGCAGCATTCCACTTTGCTGCTCCATTCCTAGTGTACTATTGTGGGTTTCCCATCAATCACTGATAACTCAGAAATGGTGCTCTTTGCTCCAACTAAGAGAACAGGAAAAGGTGAGATCTTACTTTTTTTACCTACTTCAGTGCTCAGTGTAAAATAACATTTTACATTCATACTTCACATTCAGTTTGATTGATATTCAGTAGGTTTAATATATACGTGTAAAGGAAAACTGCATTACATCTTTATTTGTTAGTGTTTTTTGTTATTGTTTGTTTCTTTGTTTTTCATATTCTGTCAATTTAGAATGTACTTATTGTCACACCGAATTTGGCCTATCAGATTTGAGAATTATTTATGTTGATTTTGCTCTAAGATACATTTTTAATATGTTTTTAATCACACAAGTGAGATTTATTGATAAACAAAATAAAACAGTCTAAAATGTTAGCATGCTAAACTCATGCTATCAAACACAAAGTGTGGAAATTATGTAGTTTTAAAGAGGGATCTACACTCTAAAAAAGAATGTGCTGGCATCAACATGTAACAATTTGCATAGATTTTTTAAAGCTATTTCATCTTAGCCGTAATTGACTCAGTGCCACAAGGTTTATCTGGCTAGGCAAATTCATTTACTTTATCATAGGCAACATGATTTTTTTTTGTCCATTACAAGCTTAATTAAGTTGAACCAACTTAATTTTCTTTGTCTAAAAATGACTCCTTTTAGTTATGGAACCTATTTCTTTTCCTTTGATTCTACTCAGATATGTCTATGCAAATTGTTCCTTTTTTTGTAATATTAACTTATTTATCTAAGTCAGATTAAATTACACATTGAAATTCCAGTTTATTCAAACATGGCTGCATATTGACATTTTAATAGCACACAAAACTGTAGCCTCCATAAAAGAAATGCTATAAAACAGCCCAGTAAAACTGTCTCAGAGATACCTAACAATTTGACAATCATGATCAGACTGATATAAATTCTTTGCATTACTGAAAGTGCATTATTTTTAACTGTAGCTGCACTATACTATAGGTGAACTACAGTATAGCTGAATTCTGAATTACACACTGTACTTTGAACATTACACCTATAGTATGTTACTCAACAAAACATTCCAAACAGCAGTGGAACATTTTCCTATTTAATTTGAGGATGGTCTAACTCAGATTCTTTTTATTACAATAGTTTATTTTTTAGTGACATTACCTTGGGACTGGCTTTCAGATCATCCAACTCAAGGAGGATCTTTTGAAATACTTCAAAAGTATTTTTCAGTCTTTTTGTGTTGCTGAGGGTTGAGTGCATATCAGCCCCATAGGCAAGGCACAGGCTCTGGGAATATCCACATCTGTTAGGACCTCTGTTGCCTCTATGACAATCTTTGGATCGGCTAGATCAGAGCCACAACGTGTTGTGACAATTTTCATCAGTTGGTCTGTACTATCCCTATCTCCATCCCAGTAGGTCAGAATTAATATAAATGTTTAAAGGGTTTGTAGTGGGTTGGAAAATGCAACATATATTTACTATGTTATTTCAAAATCTTATATACAAAATAATCACAGAAAACGATATATCTCTATGTGAAGTATTGTGGTGTTTAATTGACCTCCTCTTTGAACAGTTGCTCCTCCTTTTCCTTAAGGTAGACCATTAAGCCACGGATGGCAGCCTCCCTCCACAGAATTGTTCTGTGAATAAGAGAAAAAATGTTGAACTCCTCTAGGAAGATGGATTGTTGATAATTGCATCAAAATTACATCACATAATTACATAATCTGATGAATTGATGAAAAACAAGAAAAACAAAAGCTTGCAAACTGCCGCGTTTTTACACTGCACTTGCTGCTGCTGTGTCTTGAAGAGCAAACCATAGCTGTGCTCAATAACCTACCACGGTCCAGTCACACAACTTTTGCTGGTCAAAACTTCACTGACACTATTTAAAATCTGAAAGAGGTAAAATGGGTATTGCTTTATCTGTGCAAAGTTAAAACTACTGCTTTAGAAGGTCAGATTACACCATAAAAAAAAACTTAAAAACTAAAGTTATGGGTGAATCGGAGCACCAATTAGTTAAAAGTCTAAGATTTCTAGCTTCAATTTTACCTACGCTTACTGAGGAAAAGCATTAAATTTTGTGAAAAACAATTTCTTGTACTGTGTGCTGATGGAGTTATTAACTAAAGTTAGCTGAGAGTCAAATCATTGTACTCACCGAGTCTTAAAGTTCTTGAAATCCTTGTCTGTGCTTGGCTCCTTTCCCTCCAAAAGGCATGGTCTGACAGCAAAACAAGTCCAGACAGGTTAGCCTTGTACTCAACTTTCAACGGACACTTAAGAGATTTTTAAGCTGTACTAACTGAACACACTTCTTTTTATGCTGAAAAAGCACTTGATTTTAAGCTACACCTACTAACCCGATGAATAATTTCTTAGAATGATGCACAATTTCTTCATCATTGCCATTGCAGTCAATTTCCTTTTTTTTTTGGCCCATGTGAGTAAAACATGACACAAGAGCACAAAATATTGCCTCATACTTACACATGGTCCATGCTAAGCCCATCAGGGGTGTGGCAACACAGAAGCTCTATAAATAAAACCGTGTCAAGAATTTTGCTCAGAGCATAGACAAACCTTGGCCACTGAGGAGCAGGAATCAGAAAGCACACTTACAGGTTTAACATGTTAAAATTACACACTCCCGTTCAACTTATCACCTTCACACTGCTGTTTCTTATCTTCACTTCTGGGGAAAGCCAGCCACAACTGGCCCACAAAGGCAAGCCTGGCATGAACAGGATGGACAAGCAGCAGGTTCACCTTTTTGGTGCAGTGAAGAAAGAAATCCTCAGTTATTTGGGTATGGACAGAGAGCCCAAAACAGCACGGAAGGCCTCACACAGTGAGATAACAAAGATGTATCAGCTCTACGAGGAAAAATTAAATGAGGTCAGAACACATTCCAGTCAACCTGGGAATTGGAGCCAGCAGCCGACCATGTCCTCTGTTCTCTTTCCAGGTATGTATGAGACATTTTTTAAAGTGTGAAATACGATGAAGGAACTTAAAACTAATGTAGTAATTACTGCTAACAAAGTTGATACAGAAGAAAAAGTGAGCATTTGATGTTGTGTGGGAAAGACCTTAAGACTGCCATAAAACATATCAATTAAAATACATTGTTGAAGATTTGGACGGAACCAAATCTGATGTATACCAGTAAAAGTTATTCTCATCCAAATTAATTTGCAGGTAAAAGATTAACAACCGGAAACAAATACTTTCCTGAGAGCTTTAAGAAATCATAGGCATGAGAACAAACATTAAATGGCCTTGGCAAATTTCCAGTTCTGTTAGAAATGATGAGCTAAGAAATAACAAAATAAAATAAATAATGATGAGTGTGTTCCTTTTTATGCAAGTATTTTTTCACTGTTTTTTAGTAGAGCAGCTGAAATTGCTCCGGAGGGGAAGTCGCCGAAAGTTGGGTCAGCGCATACATTGGTACAGAGCCATTTTCCAGAAGAATCCAAACATCAAGATTGGAATGATTTTAGCCCGGGCTGAACTGAAGATTTCCTTGCACACTTTATATTCTGTCAAGACCAAAGTGTCACAAGATTTTAAAGTTAAGATCAATGGGTTGAAACCCATGATTTCTGCTCCAACATTCTCAAACTCAATAGCTAAATTTAACATTTCAAGCGCTCAGGATGTGACATTGGACATCAGCCCTGAGGTGAAAGGATGGATACGGTCTGATGATCAGTCACTGATTGTAGATATTGGGGTAGGTCGGAGAAAAAAAGGTTTACTCAAGTTAAACCCAACCATAGTTCTGGAATCGGGGCTCATACAACTTTACACATTTAAAAGAACGAGACAGCGTCGCTCCAACAAGGAAGACAATTGTGACGAACGAGGATGGTGCTGTCGAAGATCACTTATTGTGTCCTTCAAAGACATTGGCTGGACTGACTGGGTGGTGGCCCCAGCCGAATACACAATGCATTTTTGTGATGGCACCTGCCCACACAACTACAAACCAGCAAGCATGCACACACAGGTCAAGTCTCGGCTGCATGTGATTACCAAAGGAGGGACGCCGCGCCCCTGCTGTGTGCCAGCAACCTATGAACCTATGGTGTTGATGCACTATGACAGTAGGGGTAAGTTAAAACTGACTACGTTCAGTGACTTCATTGTCAGCAAATGCCACTGTGCCTGAAACGAGAATGTGTTTGTTCAAATATCCATCCGTCCATCTATTTATCCGTGCTGTATCCCCTTTCTATTTTGCTCAGACTAACCTAATCACTCAAACACAGTAATGTATGGTACATGGTGGGGAAAAACATAAAAAAAATCTTTCATAGAGAATTTGATCCCTTCATATCAGTCCTTGACTAAATTAGAATAGCAAGTGTGTTTGTGACTTGGTTTAAAATATTACTTAAAACACACAAAAAAATAACAAAAACTGCCAGAAAATGTATTTCTTATTTATTTGAGTTTTATTTATTTTTCTACTAGTGTTATTTTGTTGTTGTGTACTATTTGTACTTTAACAGCATTATTTTATTAAATATTTTATATTTAGTATAGATCAATTAAACTTTTGCTGGATGTGTCAGCATGCATATTTTATTACAAACTCCCACAATAAAGTGTGACTATCTAATCTTTGACATTTATTGGCAGAAATACAATAATCCTTTTTAGGTTAGTAAAGTCAAGGTGTGGCAGAGATACTGGTAGTAATGATATGATAACATCTTGTTCAATGTGATGGCCTTGAAGTTGAGATCACTGTTACCTTGACCAACAGTTTCATAAAGAAAGGAGATTCATTGCATGAATTAAAAGAGGAAATGAAAACTAAAAAGTCTGTCAACTGTGCATAACCTTATATAACTTAGATCAATTTGTTTACAAACTTTTATTTATTTTAATGGTGACACTAGAAGTAGAAAAGCTCATGTTCTAAAGCGGCTCAGAAAAGAGCTCAAGGTTACTAAGAATATGCAATGGACAGATATTCCCGCCCTTGAAAGTAAGCTGACTGATTACTTGCAAATCTCGCTGAAATGTTTTGTGATTGACACCACCCTCTTGTGTTCCCTAGAGTTCTTTGTTATTTTTTTTTTTCTTTGCGTGGGTAAAGGTCACATAAACAGAAATGTAATCTTAAGCAAGTAATAATCTGTGCTCAAAGATATGGTATACTAAGGATTCTCAAAGAATAAACAAAAATAGAAAACAATAATAACAAATAATGAGAGTTAAAGAAAGTAATCCAGGGTGCATCTATCAAGGTTTTTGTTTTTAGTACAAGACATGATGTGCAAAACTTCAAAAATGTTTTCATTTTTTAGATACTATTTTCACACAGCCCCACCAGGAAGGCTACTACTGGATTTTACTTCAGTGAAATGGAACAAAAATGTAAAAAATACATGTCCAGTGCTTCATTTTCTCATAAAATCTACCTCTGGTAGAGGTGTATGGCTCACTCGTGAAATATGCATAACTCACTCATCTTTCAGTAATTTTTATTGTTCTATCATTTCTTCAGATCAGTATAAAATCTATTTATCTTAATTTAGTTTGTCCAAATATGGTGCTATTCAACATACACTCTCGAGAAATCTCTTGAGAATTCAGTTTTTGCGTAACACCCAATATCTATGTACTCAGATCATATTATGATTATCTAAAATTTAAAAAAGCGGGGGGGGGGTTCCAGAACTATGTGCTTCTGATTGCCCAATTAGCTTACTTGGGGTGGATGTTGGGGCATACTTTGAAAAGTAGTGGCAAATCAGCTTAGAGGTAGCAGTGACAGATATAACTGCTGCAGACCAAACAGGGTTTGGTACTTTCGGTAACATATGTTTAAATGTTTAATTAATATTATTCATCATTTTTATTTCCATCAAACTCCAAGTGCTATGGATACAGAAAAACATTCAATCGTATTGAAAGAAAATATATGTCGAAGTTTTAAAAGAGTTGCTCAATTTCAACTTTACAAAGGGGCAGCCCAAGGGTCACCATTAACACCTCTGCTGTTTTCCTTAGCAACAGAGCCATTAGCAATTGCTGTCATGCAATTTTCTGATATCCAAGGAATGGTCATAGGGACAACACGGCACAAAATGATGTTGTACACAGAAGACGTTCTCTTGACATTAACAACCCACAAAACTCGATACCTACCCATATCAATTGTCTGGAAGAGTTCAGTCAAATTTCTTGATACAAGGTTGATTTTACAAAATCTGAAATTATACCCCATGTGGCACTGGATCACATTTTCAAAAGTGAAAATTAGGAATCTATCTAATCTCTGGGATTATTAAAGTATTTCTGATTCTGATTATGATTCTGATATGTATGATCTTTGGTATGGGGGGCAATTTAAAACATTCAAGTCCCTACAGGCAACATACAAATTACAAATGACGGTGTTTTCAAAATACTTTAATCGCAGACACTGTATATATATATATATATATAAATATATATAAAAAAGGGTACTTTAACTTCTCAGATAAGATTCTTCTAGATAGTCTCAAACAAGGTCACTTTGTACCCAGATCTTATGCCGGTTTTGCGCTATACCTTAAATAAGTTGTATATGCACTACGTTGGACTGTTTGAAAAATAAACTGGGGAAAAAAATCTACTTCAGCTTTTTGTTACAAGATTATTTTCTAATTTGCTTGAACTTCCATTTTCTTCAGAGCTCATGTTTTTTCTGTCTCTGTCATACATTATTTTTCCTTATATACCTGGCCCCAAACAAAAATAATACAAAACTTTCAAGAGAATCCTGTCTTAATTTGTCATTTTAGATTTTCAGGATTCAAGCAAAACTGATGACAAAACATTCTACCAAACCTGATAACATCCTTGCAGCCTGCTGACATCAGTTTTGGAATTTGTAACACAGACTCAATTAAATACATTATTAATCTCAAACAATGATAAAATAATTGTGGCTTTAAGATTACTTCTGTTCCACTGAATAGAACAAATCATGCAATGCAGTTTTTATTATTCATATAGTTCTTCTTGACTTTTAAGTGAATTTGTAATGTATTAAATGCGCAAAGAAAACACCATTACAAGTATGATATTGACATACTGTCAACAGTTCTCAACAGAATGTCAAAACAAACATGATTCATGTATGCAATGCATTTGTGCTATGAAACAGTCAACAGTACTCACAGAATTTCTAATTGAATTGAGCAATGTATTCAATAATCCATATAAATGTGTTCTACGATGAATCTGGCACAACATACAGGTCCTCGTCTTGGGTGTCTTGGATGTTGGAAGTAAATGCGGGATCATTGCTGTAAATTGCATCACCTTCTGGATCGCACTGCAAGTATAAATCCTCTTCAGGTTGAGCAAGTGACCTTTGGAGAAACAGCAAAGGAACATAAATCGTTTCCAGGAAGGAGTGCTAAACTGCTCAAAAACAATGACATCCCAAAGCAAACACTATATGAGCAATATGAGCACATTTTTTTCAACCTCTGTCCATTTTTGGTTAGAGAGGATAAACACAGCAGTGAGCTGCCACATTTGAAAAGAAGATTTTAAATCAAACATGGGTCAGTTATAGATTCAGTTCCATATTTGACAGCAAGCTTTTCCAAAATGGCAAAATCTTAACACCATGCGTGGGTTTTCTCTCGCTCTGTCACAAACATATGCACACACAACCTGGTTCCTCATCTGTCTTTTTTTAAACCTGGCAGTAGACACCAAATATAAACTCACTACTTCCTATTTTTGTTAAAGTCTTAAGGAATAAATACATAGTTAATCTTACCTTCCTTGGTTTTGAGCTGGCTTTTTGTAAGCAGCAGTTTGAACTGACAGGTTTTCATAAATAGGTGTCTGTCCCAATGGCTGCTCTCTTATTGGACTGGCAAACTGTTGAGCTGGATCAGGAGTCCCACTAAAGTCCTCCTTATCTTGGCTTTGTCTACGTTGCACCAAAATCCTGATTTTACTCCAGAATTTGTAAACGATCACACCTGTTATCACCACAAGGCAGGCAAAGAAAAGTGTGAGGCCCACAGCAAGACCTGACGGGGAGCTCGGAGGCAAACAAGAGTTGGTGCCATTTCCATGGACACAGGTGCTATTTACAACCATGATCTGTAATTATGAAAGATACTGAATCATTAGAAGGAATGGTGGATGGCACTGCACCAAAAATGTTAAACCAGCAACAAAACAACAACACTGTGTGATATTTGCTACAAGAGCTGAGAAATTCAAAGCATAAAAAAAGTTTTGGTCATGTGATTATACTTATTTATAAGGCCCTCGCAAATAAAATGTAGCATACACTGAATAGACTGTACTTTTGTAGTCTCGCTGACTACTCAAAGCAATGTGACCTAATGATTTAATCCATCAAAACCAAAGACATAATATATAAAAAGAGTAAATATTTCTGTCCAAGACTGAGAAACTGAAGACATTCAAGTCAAATATATGTCTGAGAATTTAGGTCAACAAGAAATTTGAGCTTACCAGGTAAGGCTCCAAGCGTTGTTGGTCTATGTGAAGTCTGTGTGAAGACATGTAGCTTTTTCTGTTAAACCTCATGCTTGCAACAGAGAAGTTCCGTTTTACTGAAATAATGGAACTGGGCAAAATAGCTGAAACCAGAATATTTCCTGTAAAACGATCAAGCTGAAAATAGATAGTTGCTGACAAATGGTGAATTCATTATTTTGTAATTCTATATGGACAGAGACAAACATCCCAACCTTAACAATGAAACTACTTTAACAGAGTAAATCTTAACAAAATATTATTCTTTGGGTTTGGGATCATTTATTTTGAATCATTTCACAGTTTTGCTTGTTTTTTTCTGTAATTAAAAGCAATTATATCTGTGAGTCATTTGGTCTGCACAGGACCCTACAAATATAATTATCTTATAACTTTCAGATCTTAAAAATATGTAAAAAAAATAAGATCATATTTAGTTCACCCAAAACAGTACCGGGTCTACATATAATTGCTATGGTTAGTTTGGCTTCCTCTTTGGCAAGTCTTCAGATACAGATTACACTTGAGCTGTACAGTGTACCATTCTAAGCATATATCTTTTAAAAACTTTCACTTTGCCTATTTGTGAGAGCATATTCAGTTTTGGAATATTGGTGGCACCACAGAATTGTTTGTTTATGTTTATGTTTATGTTTATGCATTTGGCAGACGCTTTTATCCAAAGCGACTTACAGAGTAGACACAATATTACATTTCTCATCACAAGTGTGATGAGGATAACAGCTCTTTCCAAAATACCATCACAGATATTCATGGTTCCCATATCATACATTCAAAAGATATGGTAGTCTGAAACATGTTCATGTTCATCATGTTCATGTTCATGTTCATGCATTTGGCAGACGCTTTTATCCAAAGCGACTTACAGGGTAGGGAGGAGCTGTTTTGGCCGGGAATCGAACCCAGGTCAACTGCTTGGAAGGCAGCTATGCTAACCACTACACCACCACTCCTCCTTCCTCTCTCCTTGTCATTGACTGTTTTACAATATAAATAATTAGTTCATAAAGCTCCCAGGGGTCAAACCCACTACTCTAGAGTTTTTCTTTATGTCCATGACATGTTTTTTTCTAACACTTGCGTACTGGCTTGTACTATTCCAAGTGTTCACATTTTTTCACTGTATATCAGTTTGTTTGATTGTTTGTATTTGTTTTTATCAAAGTCAGAGATTGCTGTAAAAAAAACATCCACGCACTCTCCCAAAGACTTATACTTCAAAGCATTGATGGACCTAAGCATTCTCTGGTGATAGTTGGCTGTGCCCACCGTGTCCCATGTAAATAGATTCGGTATTTTTGTCCAGGTGAGTATTTATACCATGTTCGCCCCTCTATTAAGGATTCAAGCAGTTTTCAGATTACTTTAAATTTAATAGATTAGTTTATCAGATTACTCATTGTCTCCTATGATCAACAATGCTCCCCTATATTTTGTTTATATTCCATGCAAAACCTAAAAATGGCTATCTATTTTCTTGCACTCAAACTAATCCATCTGTAACTGAGGGTTCATTTGAGTAATTATGTAAACAACTGGACTCTGAGGGTCTACTGGAAGTTTTTCTCAGGCACACAACCTAAACAAACTGTGATTTGTCTGTCTGGGAGTCAGTAATCATGTAAATATTCTCCACCTTTGGATCTTATCACACAGCAATGCTTTTCATAACGTGCTACACAGTTCTACACAGTACTACATATTGTATCTAGATGGGCATTAGCTTGCTGAAAATTTAGATTATGATCTTGGTTATGTATACCTTCAACTCCAGCTGAGAAGGTAATTGCAGGGGCTCTTAAAAGGTGTTTACTTCCTTATGGAGGTAAGTTAGTAGCGGTAAGTCCAATAGTTTTATCGTACAGAATGTGATGGCCACAGACCCATTGTCTTTGAGTCAAATTCATAATCATTTTTATAGGATATGACCAAATCTAAAAATCTCATAATAAATTCCCATTATAAGGATACCCAAGTGTTAGAGTGACTGTCACCACCTTTATGCAGAGCAGTCACAGGAAGTCTAGACACAACAGGGGAAGAACAAAACATGCATGTTAATTTATGAGGACTTCTTCCCCCCTGCAGTCAAGAATTGTACCTACATGCACGTAGAATGATGAATAATATTCCAGTTTAGGTACATATCATGTATAATTTATCTGTAGTTTTTAGGTTTTTCATAGCAAAACATTAGGACATTGCTTATTATCTTACTGCATATGGTGTGAAGCGTCAAAAAAGTATCTTTTTTTAAATTGTGCATTTAAAAATTGATAACATTTTTTAAATGGACTGTTAATTCAGAACATCTATCAGTCCATCCATCCATTGTCCATATAATTAATTCCTAGCAGGGTCATTGGGAGTCTGAAGCCTATCCCATCTGAAATATCACAACAGTAAAAAGTACAGTAAAAAGAATCAATAATGCAACATAATGCTTTTTAGTTAAATAATCTTCAGTACATTGACTTTCAAGCTTAAATGATAAAGATGGGTAAAACTTAATTGTGATGAACAAGTGACTGCAGCTGGCAATATGTTCTTGTTACAGACCTATGTTTGCATTAGATAAATATAAACATTATTGGAATGAGGCCCAACAGATCCCACTCAACATGTGGGTTTCTTCCATTTTAACAAGCTTTTATAAACAACTTTAACTTCAAGCTTTAACCCCAGAGGCATGTTCATTAATAACGCCATGATCTTGCACGGTCCATCCCTCCACCTGCCTTGGATTTGCTTCTTTACTCTGTTGCCATGGTATCTTTACAACTGAATTCTGCTCTCCTCATTGGCAGGTGAAACAGCTCCACTGAGCTTTGGTATTTTGCCAGGAAGCATTAATCTTTACTACAAATCAAAATCTGCATATTTTGGTCAAATCAATTTTCTTTTTCAACTAAACTTAAACATCTTTTTGCTATTACTGCAAGTACTAAAACAATGAAATATTACCTACCATAAGGGACTTGACCCAACATTAACATATAGTTGAAATACATCCCCTACCCTTCACATTGTTACATCAGACTGTAGAAGACTGTATTGTGTTTTTATGTAAATAATAAAGACTCTCTCTCTCTCTCTCTCTTTATATATATATATATATATATAGGCTATATATTACACACAGAGTCTTGTCTTAAGTTGTACCGCAGTCCAGATGTGCACTGCGCCTCCACAACACGCCCGCGCAGCAACGTGATCTCGCCTCATCAAAGGAGATGTGTCAAGCCATCTAGAGACAATATAGACAATCCAAAAAGTACAGGAAACTGTTGACACCAAAATAAAGGCAGCACCACGCAGACACCTTTTGTCCCTAGGTGCTCAGTTGAGTTAACGAACCCCTTTGGCGACAGTTTAAAATCAATGACTATTTTCTAAAGTTTAAAGGACTACAGAATGACATACCTCCGTCTTCTAGAGAACCAGAGAACCATAGAGCCCCTGGCATCAACCGTAGGAATATTATCAATCTCGTCCCAACTGTTAAGTTTATAGAGTGCAACAAGGAGACTATGTGTTACACTGTTACTTCCTTAGAAGTGGACAGACAGTACTGTGATATCATGAGGTAGTGTGTATCTCGAGTGGCCCCTAGGACTGACTTTCCCGCTCTAGGAATTAACTGCAGAGACGATGGAAAATCTGCTGGTGTACAATAGGAGTGATATTAGAGGATTTATGATCAATTTAACCCTCAGAATTGAGCCACCACTGAGTTTAATCAAGATTAAGATGGAAAATTATAACCGGAAGTTGTACGTCCGTTCTCAGTCTAACTTGACTCAGCACTGAAGGAAAAGGGAGCAGAACAGCGAAACATGGCGACTTCGAACAATCCGCGGAAATTCAGCGAGAAAATCGCTTTACATAATCAGAAGCAAGCAGAGGAGACAGCGGCGTTTGAAGAAGTGATGAAAGACCTCAGCATTACTCGGGCAGCGAGGGTAACGACACCGCTTCTAGCTTTTTTCTGCCTTATTTGCAGCGTTTGTACCGTGCGAGCTGTCAAATATGTTTGCAGCGCGGCGGCAGCACGCAGCCAGGACAGAATTGGTAAACAATAACAAACGGCGGTCCATGCAAGCTGAAGCCCTCCTCTTTGAGCAATGACAGCGGATGGAGCTAACAGGAGATATCAGTCTTGCAGCATGAGTGTAGATTATAGGCACCCCCGTCCTCAAAAAGTTATTTCAATATGTGTTCCAAGCCAGTGAGGAGCGAAGGGGCGTGCGTGCTTGTTTAACAGCCCTAGCCTTGTAAGATATGTTATGCTGTCTCCTGCGTTATTTAATTGACAGAATGAAAAAATACACTGAATACAAATATACATATTGTCACAATAAATCATTTATGATTAATGGAACATGCATGGTTGTGGGATATGAAGAGGCGTATGTTGGTGTGCAACGAGCTTTGCGAACTTGTCTGACAGGTCGTCAGGCCTGTATACACAGCTGCACAAGAGAAATTTACGTCAAAGATGAAATACATCAGATTATGTGGAATTTAAGCCATATTGAACAGGCTTCCAAAACAAATCCTATGGCGGGAGCAGGATTCCAGCTAAGCTCTCACTATTGCTTAGTGGAGGCAAGGTTCTGCTCTTTGAACTAGACTGATCTTGATTTTTCACTAAGCACGACATTGTGACCTCTCAAGATATAGGCTAATCTGTTATGTGTTCATGCCTCACACAGAACGTATACTGTACCATTTTAAAAATCTTAACCCATGCCTTTTTTACTTTCTTTTTTCTTTTTTTTAAAAAACAGAAACTGACATTATATTAGTTCAGGTGAAATCATGAGTACTTGGGGTTGGAAAGATTCAGATTGGGCTCTTAGCCCCATCATGATCTAGTGATAATGCTGCTTGTGATTCTTTGCTGTATGATAGGCGTTCACATTTTTATAGAAAGAAACTTTGATGTCAGACTTATACACTAGTGATGCAAGTATTGTAGTTGTTATTATTAGATATTCTGCCCTGCCAACAGTGAGCGTGAGTCAATTTAATTGAGTGGTAATGGTTTCTCTAATGGGTAATGAAAATATCATTTTGAAATATTAGTAAAATAAATAATCCTACTTTTGCATTTTGCTGTTGGAAATTCAAAAATGCAACAGTCAGAAGATGTTGATTTATTTGTGCTTTACTTCCGCAAGTGTCATATTATGTGAACACACTCAAGAAGTTCTTAGATTGCCGTTTTTGCTCAATTTTGGACTTTTGCAAACGCAGCAGTCAGCAATAACCTTTATCACGAAATATTCTTTTTCATTCAAAATGTAATGTTCCTTTTCCTGAAGCATAGAAACAAAAAGTTATGATTGATTGTATAATAGAAAAGATTGTTAAGTGATACAGTTTAATCACCATTCAATATACTCTCAATTATAAGATGGATGTGGAAATGTGTCTTATAATTCAAATATAAAATTCTAAAATAGTCTTTTATTCAGCCATGTTGATCTTGATGTTTTCCAGTGATGTGTTAATGTTTATGACTGGAACACTAAGATATATATGTCTCAAGTCTCTTTCGCTTCAGCTGACCAAAAGTTGTCTTGCTTGCAGTTACAGTTTCAGAAAAGTAAGTATTTGCAGTTGGGACAGAACCGTGGGCAATACTATGGAGGTTCTTTGCCAAACGTCAATCAGGTTGGAAGCACTGTCGATGTGCCTTTTCAGGTAAGGCATTTCTCAAACGTTTTTTTTTAAACTATTGAAAAACTTTATCCATAGACTAAAAGATAGGAATCATCTGTTTCATGTGCTCATGACCATATTTTCCTGCACTGATCTATGGCCTCTCTGTGTGGAGTTTGCATGTTCTCCATTATATGTGTAAGTTCTCTCCGGGTACTCCCACAGTCCAAAAACTGCATGTTAGGTTAATTGAATGCTCTAAATTGTCCTTAGGAATGACTTTGAGGGAGCATTTGCTGTTTCTTGTATGTGGCCCTGTGATGGACTTGCAACCTGTCCAGAATGTACTGTGCCTCTCGCTCAATGTCAGCTTGGATAGGTTCCAGTACCCCCACAACTCTACTTGAAATATGTGGTGTAGCCAATGAGTGGATGGATGATCTATGACTTATTTTTTAACACTTCAACATTTGTATTTCCTGGATTTGATATTCAGCTTTAATGGAATTGACCTATTTTGTATATACCACTCATATAATCAGCTTAAAGAAAAGGCAGTGTTTTTTTTATATTTCAGAAGCTGGCAAACAATTCTTCCGAGAAAATGCCTCAGTTTTGCGCTACATTTAACACAGATGAACCCACATATTTGTGAGGTCAACAAAACCACAATATTTTTGCCTGAAATTAGTTTCTATTTTTCTTTTCCATTTCAGATCTGATGGGACATGACATGCACCTGCAATTTCTAAAATGTCACTATCTTTCAAAATCAAATTTAATGTTTCACTGATTAAAGTTTCTTGTCTTATATTGTCCTATTTCAGATTTGAAATGTTTTAACCCTTTTAAGATCCCCCCCCCAAAACTAAGATTTTATGCAGCTATTCTAAAGGGATGGTTGTCACGGGTTAGATAAAACCCATTTAAAAAGCTGTTGAGTTTAAATTAGTAGTTGTCAAGGTAGTTGTAAACAAAGCACAATTTTGCTCATGCGAAAGGGAAATATTGCTCTGTGTTTTTTTGTTTCATGAGTTTTAAATGTTGATTTTGATTAAATGTTATATTTAACTTGCTCCCAGTTAAATTAACTGTCATCAGTGTTCTATATCCAGTGTTATTTGTGGTCAAGGTCTGCATATCTTTGGCACAAGTGCAGCTTACCTAGACTGAAGCAGCAGTTTTCGTAAACGTATAACTTCACTTTTTAGAAGGCCTTCTTCTTTCTTTCTCTGGGTTTCAGTGTTACCTATTACCCACAAAAACGATGACTTGGGAGAGAATGGTAACTAACACATTTTGAGCACTTAAGGCATTTTTTCCTGTCATCGTTTTATAGAATTCAGGGCTTGACTCCAACAGATCAACACGTCACCATGGATTGGTGGACAGAGTCTACCGTGACCGAAATCGCATCACATCACCCAATCGAAAATCCCTGACTATTGACAAACATGGCCGCCACATATCCTTAAAACTGTCAAAACAGTAATCTGACCCTGAGTATGAGTGTGAGCATATGCAGTGATCTTTGTCTCTGTTTGTTCTGTTTCATGTAAAGTAAAGCTTGTGTCTCCACACGCAAAAGCTGGGATAAACTCCAGTCATGAGTTAACAAAAAGATTTATTACATCTTATGTTAAAGAATTCAGTTGAGAGATTGCAATGAATCTGCTAAATACCTCACTGACCTGCTACATGTTCTTAACGTGAGATCTCACATTGACAGCTGTCCATATGGCTCAGTATATTTATCACCGCCACCTGATACCAGTTGGAGAAGGTAAGACTTTTTGCAAAGAAAAATACTGTTTATGTATGACAGTTATTGTCTACTGTGTTTATAATGACCAATCGTTTAGACCAATATTTTATAGTAAAGTAAACAAATACTCTAGAACTGCATGATGCAACCTCAAACATGGGACTTTTACAAATTCAGATTTTAATTTTTTTAACTAAAGAATAAGACTTTTTTTTCCCATTACTACCCTGTTTTGTTTGATTTTTTTGGTTAATCCCTTATAAACTAAAAAATATATGAAATGTGTTGATTATGTACACTCTTGTTGTCTCAAAACATTTCTGTCGGGATAGAGGAGATGAAAATTGTCATTCTTTCCTTTCCTATGGCTTTTTTTACAGCCCCATATTAGAAAAAATGGCAAATTCTGGAAAATGCAAATGCTTCCCAGCCACTAAAACATTTGCATTCTGTGAATTATTTTGAATGCAAATCTTGTATAGTAATGGTTATTAAAATCATGATTATTAAAACATAGAAAAATAACCAAATGTGGAAAGTGGCACATTTAGCTGTTTAATGAAAGATATTAGCTCATCTTATGGAACAGGAACAGGTTTAAAAAAACATTGGGACAGGGCCATGTTTATCACTGTGTGGTATCCGTCTTCCAACAAGCGACCCCAAATATCTAGGAACTGTAACCAGCTGCGGGTGTAGCACCTGAATCCGTTCACTTCAAATGTATGTTTTTTGTTATAGATTATTTGGCACAGAGTTTAAGATGTTAAATCTCCTCATTCACATTCAATGTCAGTGATTTCAAAAACAAAACTGTATAGTAATACAGCTGCTTACGTTCACATTATTTTGTTTGTTTTAGTCAGATGTCTGAATACTTCACAAAGTGTGATAAAAAAAAATTGCTCAATGAGACTGTCTCAACTCGCAGACTTTTAAAGCATTTTTAGGTTGTTGCTCTGCTCCATTAAAATCCTGATTGTATGACTTTAGCATCATTGTAAGAATATAAACATATAGAAATAAAGTAACTTGAACAAAATATGTTATTAAGAAATGAAGTTATACTTAAATGTATAGTGATGCCCCAGCGAAAAAGAAATGGCAAAATGTCTTCTTCAAGAAACTCTTGAAAACCCAGCTCTTCAGAGAGTATCTCCTACCTGAACACTTACCCTTTACATCCCTACCCACTCTACTGTACTTCCTCTTTTTGTGCTTCCAGTTAATCCTTCCATTACACTAAACTTTCAGGAAGGCATTGGTGCAGGGGAGGAGGGTACAGTTACTGAACTTGCCTGCCTGCATTTGTCACTCTGTCTCCAACAAAGAATATGTTAGGAATTTGGAAACAAAGGATGAGACATTTACAACCTCTAAAATAAATAACTTCAGTACCAGCAGATCTTTGATTTGTTTGGGTTTGTAAACGATAGCCAGTATCACAGTTCTAACTGTCTTCTGTAATTTTCAAAAAACATTACTTCTTTTTTTTTCCTTTTCACATTTTACTCTAATTTGGTGTCCACTGCATATATTTCCACTGCAGGACAAACTCTGACTCAGCACTGCATCAGAGCACACTAACACTAACCCCTGCCGTGTCATCCTTCATTGGAGGATCACAGGACTTCCAGCCTAAACGAGGTACATGAGACATCTAGGAAGTGTCTTGTTTTAAAACTTTAATCACAATATCTCAATTAGTTACTCTGCAACAACTTCTAAATGAACTGTTAAAGACAGTGTAAAGAAAGTTGCCATTTAGCTTCGCTTCAAGTAGGTCAGTTTGTGTTTTGGTCAGGAGTTTTTGTGTGATACCGTAGACGGAGGGGATGTTGCCTTCTCTAGATGGCTCAGTTCAGCGCCGTCCAATACAGTACATGATTAAAGAGTATGAATGTGGCTTTGAAGGCAGGAGAGAATAATTGATTGCCAATAAGATAGGGGCTTTTCAAGTATCTAATGAATTTTCTCATGGCCATGTCTTATAAATGGATGTATGTTGGTGGATTTGTTCTTTTTTTATTTGTATATACTAATTTCCTTACATTTTCCAGTGCTTTCAGAAATTCAAACATCAACTTTCTTCTTTTAATGTGATTATCTTCTGATCACCTTGTATGAAGATATAGGGACCTGAATTATTATAAACTCTGACTGGCTTAATATTCACAGACCAGTGAGACTTAATAGATTTTGTTTTTTCCATCTTTCCAGTTCTTTTACTCTCTGTACCAGGGTCTGAAGCAATTAAACAAGAGGTCTCTGAAGATGAACAAAAACAGGGCTGGGACTGCAAAAAGGTAGAGCTCATTTTCCTAATGAGTATGTTTCCTTCTCATTCTTTGTACACCTGCATAATACTCTATATGTAATGTCTTCCTCTTAGAACATGTCACAGTCCAAGCCCTGTGAAGTTCCAGGGATAAAGTAAGTTTTGGCACTATTTTTATAGCTTGTATTTGGATTCATCCTCTGTAGTCTGATTAACACAAAAAATCTATATTGTCTTGGTTTGTCGAGATATACTGTTCTTTAACTGTATGGCCTATACACATCCATGTACACACATTTTTGGAATGAATGTTTATAAAATATAGTTTCAAAGTGAAGCTTTTATACTGTCATTAATCACATTTCTAATCTTTCACTCTAGTCCTAGCATAGAAATTTAGAAGAAATTCTGAATCCATAAAAATGATCAAAATAACTGTGAGCTAAATTGTCATATATTCGTAAATGCTTTTTTCTTGAAATGATGCCAAGAAATTTGCGTTAAGCTTCCCAGTGTTTGGGATTATGTTCCGTTCATCATCCAGAATATTAAAATCACTGCTGGAGAGTTCAAAACACCCATCTGTTTTCTGCAGCATATTCCCAACTACAGACCAGCAGTTTAGCACTACACTGAAACCAACAGCCCACAACAGTGGTGGATCTCTTCCTGACCTGACAAACATCCAGTTCCCTCCTCCTCTGCCAACCCCGCTCGACTCAGATGATGCAGCAACCACCCAGTTCGGCTCCTCCAGCAGTGTACAGACACTGGCTAATACACAAGGTATTCTTCATTCTACAGATCTGAACTGACTTCACACAGAGTTTCAGGTTTTCTTTCTCCTATATGTACGATTTTTGTAGATTTTAATTAAAATATTTTGCACCGATTTGGTGCCTATTTAGAGAATACTTTTATGGAAACCATTTCCTGTTGTGTTGTTGCACTGGGTGGGAGTGAGCAACTCTCAACCCACAGTAAAAATGGAAATGCCACCTAGTCAGGAAAGCATTGTTCCCCTGATCCTGAATGCAGGAGACTCCCACCAGCAACAGAACCTGCAGCTATCCCCATCGTCTCCACCAGGTGCCCTCTCCCAGGTACTGCTAGGTTCTGCTGATTCTCTTTCCTTTCCTTTCCTTTTCTTTCCTGGAGTTGGGTGTCTAATCATTTGCTATGATTTCCTCAGGCAGCAATTGATGCCATGAACCTTGAGCAACAGCTGTCCCAATATACCTTTTTCAGCCAGCAGCAATCATCCCAAACACACCAGAACCAGCAAGTGAGTGAACATTTACACTACTTTGGTCATTTAGCTTAGTAGAAATGACTTGTAAAGGTTTGAGACTCCTGGTGTAGTTCAAAATCACTCAAGTGAAAGTTACTGTGCAACAGGGAACAGCCAGTTCTGCTGTACAGTAATATTACTGTGTGCAGACATGACCTCACTCTCATTTACACACGCTGTCTCTCTCTCTCAACCTCTCTCTCTCTCTCTCTCTCTCTCTCTCTCTCTCTCTCCCACACAGACACACAACGCACAATACACACTTACACTTTACACAACATTGTTTAGGTTGTCTGTCGGACTCCTTTTTCCTTTTCAAGCATTTAGTTCCCCCTTGGAACTTCCCATCCATTGATGAACAAATAACTCTGTGTCCACACTCTCTAGCAAAAGTTTAGCAATTGTTAAGAACTGTTTGCTACAACCGGGGCGGCACGGTGGTATGGTGGTTAGCGCCCGTCGCCTCAAAGCAAGATGGTTCTGGGTTCGAGTCCCGGGAGTGGAGTTTGCATGTTCTCCCTGTGTCTGCGTGGGTCCTCTCTGGGTTCTCCGGCTTCCTCCCACAGTACAAAAAACCTGCATGTTAGGTTAATTGGACAGCCCAAATTGCCCTTAGGAGTGAATGTGAGTGTGCGTGGTTGTTTGTCCTTGTATGTCTTGTGTGTGGCCCTGTGATGGACTGGCGGACTGTCCAGGGTGTACCCTGCCTCTTGCCCATTGACCACTGGGATAATGGATGGATGGATGATTGCCACAACCAAGAAGCACCCTTATCACAGGTCTCCGATAGAATTTTTCATGTGGGATTAAAGTGAAGTTGAGTTTCTGATTTAAGCTTTCAATTTAAAAACATCTTTAAACCTGTTTTTTTTTATAGATTCAGCACTGCTTTATGTTTTTCTACATAAAGATCTACAAGTTTTTTCATTACTTCCGCTAATTTTGCAGTCACAGTGTCGCACCTAGTGATGCCAATTCAAATGTATTTTTATTCTTCTTTATTTAAACTGATTTTCTGATTGCACTATGAAATCTCCTTTTTCAAGAGACTCATGACGACAAACTAAGAGTTTAAGACTTTTCAATCTTCTCTAATATTCAGGTATAGTTCATTGTTAGTTGTTATATAAGTCTGTGTTGATAGAGTGTCTGTAGTTGTCATTTTTTACTTCAATTTGAAATAATAGCATGTGACCAAATTGTGATTATGGTAGTTGGTAAAGACATCCAGCCTCTGTCTGAGATGACAAAAAATATTTAGACACACAAACAGTTACATATCAGTTTGTGGGGGCTCCTGTCTGGCAATGTGCCCGCTAAATTTGAGTGTACAGTTCTGGGGCAAGTATCTGTGAGAATAGCAGTAACAAATGAGCATGAAGTGTCCACAATTACATTAATTCCAGAATATTTGTCTTTTTATAGATATTTACAAAAATGACATATATGCCAATTTAAAGAGTTTTTGCTATTATAAATCGATTCATTAAGTTTGACAGTGTATGCAATCCCCCTACACGTAACTATTTGAAATTTAAGATTTACAGATGAGATATGCTGTATATTTTTCATTTTACTGCTCACTTTTTTAATGATTCTTTGACTTCTTAGATCATGCTTATAGACTTAGAATACTTTTTTGATATATGAGAGGGATTTTTTCCCTCATGTTTTTAATCAAGATTATGGTTGTGTACCATTATCCCATTAAATTAATACAAATTAAATCTGGGTACAGACAACATGCAGTCACCTCACTTTCTTGCATCATTTCGCTCTGTCGATTGTAAACATCATCACATGTCAAGAACAAACACAAAAAGGAGAGTATCCTAAACAATTATGCCAAATATGAAAGTAGATCTGCTCATTAGGATAAATATGAGGAATATCTGATTTATTTATGAATCCACTGCTTATTTTGCAGCAGACAGGGCTGGTCCAGCTGCCATCCGCTGTGAACTCCTGTTCCACATCGGACAACCAGACATCCTCTCAACCCAACATGACCATAGATATGAACACGGTGAGCAGAAAAAATCTACACTACATTCCATGAACTTCTTGTGATTGCAACATGGCAATACATTGTCCCCTTTTCCCTGAAAAGTTTAAACCAGGCGACTTGATTCTGTACTTTTTGTTGTGTTTTCAAGCTGCTGCCTTGTTTTTTGTAGCATATTGTCACTAGAAATGTACTAAATGTTAAGCATGCAATGTTTTTTACAGTGTAAGAATATAATGATTAATTTATGTATTGGATGGACTGGAATTAATGTACGAAACAAAGGCACAAGACAATGCTCAGAACATAACTATCTTAACATTATATCAGGAACCACTCGTCTTTCAGACATTTCTCTTGTTGCAGGACTTGTGTTTCAGTGGGAATGTGCTTTGATTACTGCAGGAATGAAGTTTCCTAAATTCTGTTTGGATGAGTTGAAGATTTGTGCAGTGTAGGGTCAAGCAAACTGTGACTGGAGCTTAAATCCTAATGTCATAAATCATGAATAAGAATCGAACCCATCCTTATTTTATGTGCCGCTCTTTTCAGATGTGTTTTTAAAATGTTTATTTTATCAATTTTCATTTTAGTTCTATCTGTGAAACAGGTCCAGCTACAGAAATATCATGGAAACAGCCGTTTGGTTTTATTAAAGGTTAAACATATTTATTAACTGATCTGATTATGGCACAAACGTATGTTTCAATCCACAGACCTTTAACTGCTAATTCATCCTATACAATGGTCTCAGTACTCATCTATCAATAGAAAAATTAATTACGCGGTTTAAATAGCTGTTGTCATTATTGATAAGAGATTATCAAAAAATGTTACATGCTGACTGTTTGAAAGCACCTATTGAGTTTTTCTTCCCTGTAGAAGTGGTGTATTGACTTGATTAGATTGGCCAGATTGTAAAGGAACTGGAAAGAGCTGGTATGATGCAACTGAACTTAAGGCCCACATTCACAACACTGATTTGCCTTGGTTTAACTGTCAGCAATCATTTTCCTCTTTTAATTATTACCCTATAGTTTTTACTATGTCTTCTTCGACTTTCTCAGCTTTGTTAATGCACTGATGTGACATGCAGTGCTTGCTTTGCTTTTACATACAGTAGTTTTTCTGTTTGTAACTTTTGTTGTGAGTTATAAGCATTGCATATAGCCACTGGATAAAAGATTATAGTATAAAAAGAAAAAAAAACATAAACAACACACGCTCCAGAAAAGAACACAAGTGTGAATAACTCAGATGTATGCTCTTTTATAAGGCCTCCTCTCTGCAACAATACCGCAGTAGAGTTGGATCTTCTGCCAATCAGTCTCCAACCTCTCCCGTCTCCAACCAAGGCTTCTCACCTGGAGGCTCGCCTCAAGTAAGGGCGTGTGAACCTATGAGCGGCTGGTCCCTTTGCATAAACATCACCGTCCCTTGTATCATGATTCTGTGATTAATGTTGGCGATCACGGCTCTGTCGTGGTGGGTGTGGGCTGCCCCCCACACGCACCTTCATTCTCTGGATATTTGCAGATCTGGGCAATTATTCCTTTATGTGTTTATTTTTTGTCAGGACAAGTATAAGAACTACATATTTCAAAAATGTTGTTTTTTAATAAGCCATTTGTCTGCCCTTTGCCTCTCTTTTGTATACATCTCTGCTAACATAACAAAGATAAAGCATAAAAAGGATAGTTAAGAGAGAATGCAAACAATACTAAGATAAGGATCTCTTGTTATCAATATATAATGCAAGACAACTTCAAACTGGCTGTTAAATTTATGATAGCACAGTATTAATTTACCTCTTACAGTCTGAGTTCCAGCATGGACATCACGCTGCAATGTAATGTTTATTTAATTTACTAAATCCCTCATAGAACAAAGATAATTGATTTTTTCATGTTAAAAGAGTACTCTTAATCCAAATCAAATCACTTAACATAGGAAATATAGCAATATTGAAATAACAATAAAAGGAAAAAAAACACTTCTGCTATTTTGCCCAGATCTCACCACAGTCTCTTTAAGTCTTGTGTTGTGATGTAGCTGTGTTCCTGACCTTCCCTCTTTTTGGCTTGTGCATTTCTGTTTTTGCATCTCTGCTGTCTCCTATGATCTGGATTTTTTTTTATATTTGTCAGATCTTTGAGTTTATTGTTCTTTTGCTCCAGCATACGGACTGAGGAAACACAAAGGAAGATATTAATCCCCATCAAAGGATTTTTGAGGAGAAGCGGCTGATAACTCCCATTGTTAAATCTCCAAACCTTGATTGTTGTAAGATTATGTAAAAGCACAGTAATTATGGTTTGGGTTTGTTTCCATGTCAGACTAGGATTGGAAGTGGAGACAATTGTTTTTTTTTGTTTTTTGCTTTTTTCCAATTAGTAATCAGAGTCAATCAGTCAGATTCTGCTTTAAACACTGTGCCTTTGCTATTAAACAGAAAATATATACATTTAGGAAAGGGATTGTTTTATTTACTGCATTAGAAGTTGGACGTAGTGTTTTATATGCAAGGAAAAAGAAAGCAGTGAATGACAGATCTTTCACGCTATGTGATAGCTTCCACAGGTTTGTCCTGCTATTTACTTGTCCAGCTCATTTTTGTCTCATGCTACAGCAGCAACTCGTCCTGAGGTTATCCGAAGGCTAAACCACAACTGATATACCGCTTTCTCTATTATCCTGCTCTGCTATGTTGGGACATCTGTAGCACGTTCAGATAATTTGGTTTGGACTTGGAGAAGCACAGGCTGATAATATGATCAAATTACTTATGCATTATAAGGCTACGAAAAAGGAGAATTTCGGTTGCTGATTCAAAGAGGACATTCAAATGAGAAACTTCAAGAGAATTAGTTTGCACTGGCTTAGTCAATGAAGAGAGAGTAAAGTCACAAAGGAGATTATATTTTCAATCATTCTCTTTATTTTATGTGCACTGCATTCCTTTGGGTTTTTCTCAATCAAAATTTCAAGGCCAAATGAAGGTAAAGGAAGAGAATTTGGAAAAAGGGTCCTCTTTGAAAGTGAAGCATCTTTTTCCATCTTTGGCGGATTGAATTTAGGTAAAAGGGTTTAAATAAATAAGATTTTATATAAAGATGATATACTTTTACTGAAGGATTCTTATTCATGTAATTGATTCAAGTTCTTTTCTATGTATAGGCATTTATTTGTTGAGTTAAATAATTCTGATTCTGTTTTTTGTAGTTCATTGAAATTTTAATTATTCTAAAGAGAAATCTCTTGTTACTTAGGCTTTTATTATAAGGTTTTAGCGTTTGCTTTAGTTTAACGTCCACTGAGATATTGCTTGTGATTATTGACAGTTCACTGATTTTGTGGGTGCCAGCCCTTTTACCCTCCCTGTACAGTTAAACTATGCTAAAGGTCTAAACTTTAGTATCTAGTGCCTTTAACACCTTTGTCATTGCATTTGATTAAGAGAACAAACTGTAATTCTAAAAAACAAAAAAGCATTATCTAATATTTTTGATGTCCAGTACTTAGTAACACCACATTGAGAGTTTTTTTTTTAAAGCTATTCAAGCATTTTGGAGGCCTTGACAAAAGCTTTTGTCAAAAGCTTTTGATTTTGAAAATCATAATTAACTATTGGTTCAGTCTCCATGTATATCAGTTTTGTGACAGACAACATCCTTACAGCCTGACAAAATATGCCTAAAATTTGCAGGACCTGAACATAACAAATATTATTGGTCTTCATTTACCGAGAGTTTTAGGTTCTTGGGAGTTGGCAATACATCAGATGTTGCCCCAATGAAAAATCTAATCCTACTTTCCTTAACATTTCTTTCCAGTTAAGCATTTTCTTCTCGACACCTTCTTAATTTAACCACTATCCTTGCTTAGCCTGACCATAATAACCTTTAACATTTCCTCTTGCCTATAAACTTGCTCCACAACAAGTTTTTTCTGCTCGACATGCTCCACTCCACACCAGTTTGCCTAAGACTAGCTCCTGCCTCCTGAACTGCCATTGTTGGATTCCATTTCCTCCCCCTTGGAACCACCTTACTGACTACAGCATTGTTACTCCAAGCTAACAGGAGTTCTCCTCACCTTAGTTAAGTTAAACTTGTCTACTTGACTAAATAATGGGAATATGAGCCTGCCTTTCCTGTGTAGTGCCAAAGTACTTAAACATCTAGGAACACTTCCTAATGTAAGAGCTAAGTAACCTTTCCATTCTTTCTGCAGCATAAAACGAAATCTCATACACTGTTAGTGGGCAAATCAACCTAGGAAACAACCCAAACTGTAGACACCTCAGCTTAAATTTTCCTGGAAAGTGATTTATCTATTCAGTCCAGTCCATCAGCAACATCTCTCCAAAAATGCAATAGCTGCATTACCTACCTAAACTCAGACTTTTCCACAAAAATTTGAATTCTCTCTTCATCTATTAAAACAATTCTACTACCTAATTCTGGACTTACTAGGCTTGATTTTCACAATTAATACATATCTCCTTTGCCATGGTAAATGCTAATGGAGGAAACATACAGTACACTCTGACACAATGCCTGTTTCTAGTGTCTGCCAACCTGATATAGCTGTATATCTGTACTTAGGTACAGCCTAATGTCCTGAAAATGTTTTTTACTAAGTGAGCAAGTGCTATATATATATATTATACATATGTATGTGAATGCGTGTCTATGTGTGAGTGTGTGTGCATATGTATGTATGTACATATATTGTGTATATATATTGTACATATATTGTTTGATACACCGTGAGAAACATGCCCCTGTTACCCTGTTACATGACATGCCGACATGCTGTGGGGTATTTCTGAGCACTTTGTTTCATTGGTGTTGCTGCTTTGATGCTGCTCTGTCCATATGCAATATTTTATGTTAAATGTATAACTTCTACAGCATCAGAGAAGGTAATTAATATTTGTGGTACCCAATATGGGTTTTTTGCTTCTGTTACTAGTCTGTTGAAGGTGTCATGTTGGTATGCACTCAGCCATACTTGTCTCTATTTACCTTGCAACAGCACAATTCATATTCCAATGAAAATTTGGTTCTAGCAGGAAGACCGGCCGTCAGGTGAATATGACACAAGCACTAGACAACAATAGAGAACATCATAATGACGATGTATCAGCCAAACCTTGTGATGGATTTATTTGGTGAGAATGTGGATTTTTAAAATAAGCAGAGTTCTCATGAAATTGTCATTTTCATGACTCATTAAGTCATGGGACTCCATGACCAATCAGCAGCCAAGGCTGCTGTCGACCCACTTGTTGCCCTGGCTGAGTAGGTCATGAAAGTGTAACTATGAGAAAGTGTCAGACCTTAATGGAAATGCAAAAAAACAAATAGTTGGGCCGACCAAGGCTGAGTAGGTAACCATGGAAAAGCCCCATAAGTAACCTAGCCTGTGCTGTTTGTTGTTACAGCATAACTCCATACTGGGCAGTGTTTTCGCAGACTTCTATGATCAGCAGCTACCATCCATTCAGGCCAGTGTTCTCTCACAACAGGTACCAGTTCTATGTGTGCCAGAATTTTTTTTTTAATGTTTATATTTGATTATTTCTTTACTTTGCTCCTGGTTCTTGGAGATGGCATATACGGTTATAATGAATAATTGTGTTTCAACATTTCTTTCTCCTGTGATTGCCAGCTGGAACAGTTTAACATGATTGAGACCCCTATCAGCTCGGACAGCCTTTATAACCAGACCTCCACCCTCAACTACTCCCAGGCACTTATGATGGGTTTGACTGGCCATTGCAACCTTCAGGACCCACAGCAACTGGATTACAGTAGCCATGGCAACATTCCCAACATAATTCTTACAGGTGCTGTTTATTCAAGTAATGGTTTCTTGATTAGACTGCGAGTAGCTTGTTAAGAAAAACACCTAGACTAGAACTATTGGATACCAACCCAAAATAAATGTTGTGATTTATAATTTTTTTTAATGTCTTTTAGCATTACTTTTAGCAAGTAATGGCTTCTTGATTAGACTGCAAGTGGCTTGTTAAGAAAAACACCTAGATTAGAACTATTGGATACCAACCCAAAATAAATGTTGTGAATTGTAATTATTTTAATGTCTTTTAGCATTACTTTTAGCAATTAATGGCTTGTTGATTAGACTGCAAGTGGCTTGTTAAGGAAAACACCTAGACTAGAACTATTGCATACCAACCCAAAATAAATGTTGTGATTTATAATTATTTTGATGTCTTTTAGCATTTCACCAATGTTTGACTACATTATTATAACTCTTGGTACACCAGTCAGATAATGCCACATGTTCAAATGAGCAAAACGTGTCTTCTTAGCACCAATAGTGATAGGTAAAAACAGTTATTATTTATCCCATTTTATTCCTGACTAAATTTGTCGCTGACTGACAGACAGATTAACAATACTTGGTTTTGAATTCAGTGGCACTTCAAGGAAATTTGCATAAAGTTCAACTCATTTTCCTGATATGGAAAAGAAATTGGGCCAAATAATACTATCAGCAGGTGGTGGTTTTACTACCTTATTGTAAAATTAGAGATAAATATTTTATCTTTATCAAATTTTTGATAATCCCTTTACATATTTGTGAAAATTAATCAATCAAGGTTTCATTTGTGTATTGATCAAATTAGTCAGAGTTTTTTTTCTTCCTGTATTGGTATACAATTTTGAAATTTAACTAGGCAGCACTTTCTTTTCTGATAGAGACCTAATTAAAACTGATGCTTTTTCTTTCCAAAAATATGTTGTTTTGCTCCAGTGAGTGGGGAGTCTCCACCCAGCCTGCCCAAAGATCTGACAGACTCACTGTCCACAGATGACAGCTTCGATGTCAACTCGCAGTTTCCACTAGATGATTTGAAAATTGACCCACTGACTCTTGATGGTTTGCATATGCTGAATGACCCGGACATGATCCTCACAGACCCAGCCACAGAAGACGCATTTCGCCTTGACCGGCTGTAAATGGCATTCTACATGCACAGGTGTGTAAATGCTGCAGCCTTTGGTTGATAAAGAGAAGTAATCTGAAGTGGGCGGAGCCACAATTTCACACTAATGATACAGGAGAGATTTTTACAAGACACATTAGGAGGAAAAGGTATTTACATATTTTGAACACTACTACCAACTTCACATCAAGTGGTATGGAATCAATTAGTTAGTGGTTCTAACAATGATGACTATGATAAAATTATGGATCTTATTTTGATCCAGTCAAATGCTTAGTTTGATTTAGTTTGATGAGGGGAGAGACAATCTAGTGTTGTATTGTCAATAAATACCTAAATATCTGCCGGAAAAAATAACTCTGGGCTTATTACAATGCAAATGCCTTTAAGAGTAGTTTGAAGACACAGAGAAAACACTTTTCAAGTTTAACCTCTGTATGCTAAGCTGGTTATGCTCAGTTTGGATATTAATTTTGTGTTATTATCTGGATGGTTTGTAAAATTTGTCCAAATGAGGTGATGAGACATAATTTTGCAACCTAATTCTTAGGAAATGCTGAATTTTTATTATCGTCATGGCAACTCATTTTTATGCATGAAATCATAAATCACTGTGGATACTTTTTTTGCCTTAATAAGTTAACATTTAGGTTTTCATGCAAAGATGAAAATATAAATGAGGGGGGAAAATATTATTTAACAACACAATTTTACATAGTTGCATGTTGTTCAGCCTACATAATTCAGTTGTATTTTCATTACCCCGTCTTTTCATAGTCAAACATCAAGTTAGATTTTTTCTATGATATGGACATTCACTGGCCTATTTTGTTTATTACATGTACAGAATGTGGTCTGATTTTGCGTAAGATATCTATGCAAAAAAGTTATAAAAAGACTGTAAAATGTGACTATACACCATACACACACATGCATGTGCAAATACTGTATATATATATCTATATATATATACACACACACGCATATGTGTGTATGTGTATGTGTATGTGTATATATATATATATATATATATATATATATATATATATATATATAT